ACTTACACTGTATGATAAATAAGAAGCTGTGTAAAGCACAGTGGCCGTCCTTAGCAATGACTCAGTAAGGGCAGAATACCATTTACCTATTATATTGCATGGGGAGACTTGTTCCCACTTTGGAAGGATGGAAAGTTCCAGTGGTGGGACCCAGCAGAATCTGTGCAGCTGTGCCCTTCTTGTCTCTGAGTGCATCTACTTAGTCTTGGTCTAACTAGCCCTCTCTTCTTTCCTCATCATTTATTGCTCTAGGCCTGATGATGATGTTATCTCGTTCAGTCTTTGCAAACATGAGATGAATTCCTCCATTTTTTTCCCACTAATAAAACTGGGGGCCAGTGAGGGATATATTACTTGCCAAGGTCATGAGTCTAGAAAACCCTTGTCATCTTGTCATTCTCTGCTTGCACAAAAATTGTCCCTAATTACTTCATGGAACTTGTAAAATAAAACAAAAACACTGAGAGGCACGGACTCTACTTTAGTTAAGACGCGATTCTCCCTACCACACTACTCTTCATTTACCAGAGGTAATGGTTCCCACCTCACCTCTTTCTCAAAATCCCAGGGAGAAAAAGGCCAGTTTTCTTCCCTGATGGAAAGAACTTTGGACTGAGACCTAAGAAGACCCAGTGTAATCTCAGCTCTACTGTGAGCTCACAGTGCTTGCTCCAAGGCCTTTCTGGGGCCTGTTCCCTCTTCAGTATAATGAAGAGATTGCTCTAAACCCAAGAGTCTCAGCCTTTCGTCTGTTGCTGAGTGTCCTGCTTGCCAATATCTCAGTGATAACTTCACCCCTTCTCCTTCACTCAGATACAGGACTGTTGTGATGCTGTTTCAGGCATCACCTGATTCTTCTCAGAAATGCTGGGGGAATACGGCATGGAAAGTGCAAACTTTGTCTAGTAACAGATCCTTGCATAGTCTGTGTCCGTGCTCAGGCTGCAGTTGGGAGGCTGCTCTGGAGCTCCTCCTTCCGTGCCACTACAGCCCCATCCCTCAGCCTGCACACAGTGGTAGCAGGGAGTGCAGCAAACAAGTATTCTCTGGGCCATTGGAATTCTTAAGAAACCTTGCTCTTTTGAGTTGGAAGCATCAGAAAACCTTTTGTAAACACACAAGAGTTTAGGCTGGCAATGAGTGTCTTTATTCTGAGACTCAGGTTTATTCCCATCTCTCCATTGCGTATGACACTGGATCTGCACGTTTCTAATCCGGTTTAAAAAACAAGCAGCCTGATGCCGGGCGTGGTGGCACATGTGTAATCCCAGCACTTGGAAGGCCAGCCTGGTCTACACAGCGAATTCCAAGGCAGCCAGGACTGTTACACAGAGAAACCCTGTCTCGAAAAAACAACAAAAGCAGCCTACTTCTGTTAGAAAAACTAGGTATAGCACACTCCTATCTCAAGCTTCTAATGATCTTCTGGGTTTTGTTACTTATGGACTTGTAACTGTGCAGAGGGCAGATATTGTACTGTTTCTAAGACCTCAGGTGAGGTGTTTAGATGCTGAGAATTTTTAGGGAAGAGGGCCTATGCCATGGACTCCACATCGGCTGTAGTTAGCTGAATGCCTCGTCTCCTGTTTAGTCCTGTAGCATTGTCACTACTGCCTGTGATGGCACATGGCTTTTCTTTTTTTTTTTTCTTTTTCGGGGAAGGGGGATAGAGACAGAGTTTCTCTCTAGTCCTGGAACTTGCTCTGTAGACCAGGCTGATTTCTTTATTCAAAGAGATCCACCTACCTCTGTCTCCTCAGTGCTGGGATTAAAGGTATGTGCACCACCACTACCTGGCTTTTTGCATTATCACTGAGGAAAGTATTTGAAGATTTCAAGTAAGAACCTGTATGACTTGTTTCCTGTTTCCGTGCCGCTTCACCCGAGTCACAGCTTTCCATACAGATTAGCAAGGCATCATGTGAGGGACGCTGGGGATTCACGGCTGCGTGTTTAAATGCTTGGCCTTTTAGCTGTTTCTTTAATAATGTTTCCGGGGAGACAGAGGCAGGCAGATCTGTGAGTTCAAGGCCAGCCCGGTCTACATAGCAAGTTCCACATGAGCTGGGACTACAGTGAGGCCCTGTCTCAAAAAAAGGCAAGGTATTGGGAGTAGGCTTAGTGGTTTAATAGCACTGGCTGCTCTTGCAGAAGACCAGGTTTGGTTCCCAGAACCCATATGGTAGCTCACAACCATCTGTAACTTCAGTTCCAGGGAATCAGATGCCCTCTTCTGACCCCTGTGGACCAGGCATACATATATACAAGCAAAACGCATACAAAATTTCAAAAGTAAATATTGTAGATGGTCTTTATCAACATCAAACCATGGTAATTCTAACTGAAAACTAATGGAAGAGTGAGATCTGCAACAGTAATTAGATGTATTATGTTGTGTTGGCACGTTCAGGCCCGGTAAGAGTCATTGTTACAGCTGGGCAGGGGTAGGACACGCCTTTAATCCCAGCACTGGGGACAGAGAGGTAGGTGGATCTTTGTGAGTTCAAGGCCAGCCTGGTCTACAGAGGTACACAGAGAAACCCTGGCTGGGGGCGAGGGGGACCCATAAAAACATAGTCATTGTTACCAAAGAAAGAAGCTTTGATAGCCTATGGTATTTGTGATATATACAAATGGATGCAGACAAATCAATAACTATTCAAAGTTGGTGGTTCTGTGGTAGAATTTGCATTCAAAGAATTAATCTCTTCGAAATTGTTCAATAATATAAAATAGAAAATACTGATATAATAACAGTTCATCTGTCTTACTACTGGGCATATTCATCAGTGCATTAACATGCTGGGGGCGGAGAATAAACTGTGGATGTGGGAGGGGGAGTTAGCTTTGCTTAATTGTCGTTTATCTCAGAAGATTCTCTTATATTTTTGGTTGTGAACCTAGCTTTTAACGGATGGGCCATCCCTCCAGCCCACTGAGAAGATTCTCAGCCAGAATTTACCAGTACTTTTAGAGTGTTGAGGAAACCCTTTGGTGTATAACAGTCCAGATTGCCTAGGAATAAAATAGCAGATTATAGTGCCCTGTGTTCATCTGCATTGAGAGCAGCTGCTTTATTTAGTAGTGTTTAGGACCATGTTGAAGAGCTGCACCCTTCTTCCCCCACCTGCTCACATATTGGTAAAGGACATAGCTGCCTTCGTTTCAAGGGAGGCCAAGGACTCTTTAGTGAGGGGTGAAGGTGCTCCCCAAGGGCAGGTGACCGGAGGAATGAATTACGGCGACAGCAGTGACAATGGCAGGCTGAGAAGCTCTCTTATTTAAGGATTATTCAGCTGCGTTCGCTGGCTGCTTCCCTGACCTTGTCTGCTAGGCCTCATTGGAAAGAGTCTAAAAGAATATCAAACTCAAGTCAGGAAGCTCTGCTAAATGCTGTGTGGTAGAAAAAGAACCCTAGTGAAAGTTGAAGGCTACGGGGAAAGGAAAAAATCTCAGGGACTACAGATTGAACACAATGCCCATCAAAATCCTAGCAAAATTCTTCAAAGACCTCGAAAGAACGGTACTCAAATTCATATGGAAAAGCAAAAAACCCAGGATAGCCAAAACAAACCTGTACAATAAAAGAACGTCTGGAGAGCATCACAGTCCCTGACTTCAAACTCTACTACAGAGCTACAGTACTGAAAATAGCTTAGTATTGGCATAAGAACAGACAGGAGGACCAATGGAACCGAGTAGAAGACCCAGATATCAATCCACACATCTTCAAGTACCTGATCTTTGATAAAGAAGCAAAAAATATCAAATGCAAAAAAAAAGCATATTTAACAAGTGGTGCTGACATAACTGGATATCAATATGTAGAAGAATGAAAATAGACCCATATCTATCACCATGTACAAAACTCAAGTCCAAATGGATCAAAGACCTCTCAGCATAAAGCCAGCCACACTAAACCTTATATAAGAGAAAGTGAGAAGTACACTTGAACACATTGGCACAGGGAACCACTTCCTAAATAGAACCCCAGCAGCACAGACACTGAGAGAAACAATTAATAAATGAGACTTCCTGAAACTGAAAAGCTTCTGTAAAGCAAAGGACACAGTCAACAAGACAAAACAACAACCTACAGAATGGGAAAAGATCATCATTAACCCCACATCAGACAGAGGGCTGATCTCCAAAATATACAAAGAACTCAAGAAATTGGACACCAAAAGATCACATAATTCAATAAAAAAAAATGGAGTACAGACCTAAACAGAGAACTCTGAACAGAGGAATCTAAAATGGCTGAAAGACACTTAAGGAAATGTTCAACACCCTTAGTCATCAGAGAAATGCAACCCAAAACAACTCTGAGATTCCATCTTACACCTGAAAGAATGGCCAAGATCAAAAACACTGATGACAACTTATGCTGGGGAGGTTGTGGGGAAAAGGGAACACTTCTGCATTGCTGGTGGGAATGCAAGCTGGTACAGCCCCTTTGGATGTCAGTGTGGTGATTTCTCAGAAAATTAGGAAACAACCTTCCTAATTAAAGGTGTGCACCACCACTGCCCAGTTTCTGTGGCTATCTAGTGTGGCTGCTGGGATTAAAGGTGTGTGCCACCACTGCCAGGCTAGTGTGGTTTTTAAACATAAAGCAAAGAAAGCCAGCCTACAAACCACAATCCCAGAGAACTTAGACAACAATGAAGACACTAAGAGAGACTCACATAGATCTAATCTATGTGGGAAGTAGAAAGTAGGAAAAGACAAGATCTCCTGAGTAAATCTTGGGAACCTTGGGGGAGGCTTGAATGGGGAAAGGGGAGATGCAGGGAGGGAGCAGAGAAAAATGTAGAGTTCAATAAATATCAGTAAAATTTTAACAAGGGGAAAAAATCTTAGGAATTAGTGAAGGAAAAATTGGTTTTGGCTCTGTCCAGAGCACTGACCCCACATAGTTGCTGTGGTTGATCATGTCCATACGGACTATGGATATCTGGATTTGGAGAAATATTTCATGCTGGTTTCCTCTCTTTCAGGTTTCAAGTGCCCCATTTGCTCCAAGTCTGTGGCTTCTGATGAGATGGAAATGCACTTTATAATGTGTCTGAGCAAGCCCCGCCTCTCCTACAATGGTAAGGGTTGTCTGTCTAGTCTGCTTCCTGATGTCAAGATAAGTTGAATAGTAGGGGGCATAGCCTCCAGGTGAGGGGACTCTATAGTTTTCTTTCAGCCCGGATATCTGTGTGGTAGTGGGGAACCTGCTGTTTCAGGAGCCTTGGTTGTAAGTTGGGGTGCTGAGGAGTGGCCCAGGAAGCCAGGTCCCTCAGGGATGTAGTGGTGAGAAGGCAGATGTAGCATGAATAATAAAAACTCAGAGACAGATATTGGGGTTCAAGCTAAAGAACAGAAAAGCAGAGCGGCCAGCCACTGGCTCTTACCTCTACCTCACACTGAAAAATGGGCAACCCTGCCTCTGTGAATCTTCAGAATGAGACTGAGTGTAAGAGCTGGTTCCTCCCATTTCATATTCTTCTCTAGTGCTGGGATTAAAGGCGTGCACCACCACTGCCAGGCTAGTGTGGCTGCCTTACACTCTGATCTTCAAGTAAGCTCTATTTATTAAAACACAAATAATATACCACTATAGAATGCTCTCAGCATTTTTTGAGGATTGTGTTTCTCCTCAAAAATCTCAAGGACTAGAGCTATAGCTCAGTGGTAGAATGGTTCCAGGCATGCACAAGGCCCCGGGTTCTATTTTATCACACACACACCCCATTATAGTTTGTCAATTTTAGATTTTCCAACAAGATTTTGTTCTTATAAGAACTTGCTGGCCAGCTGGGCAGTGGTAGCGCACGCCTTTAATCCCAGCACTTGACGGAGAGGCAGGCGGATCTCTGTGAGTTCGAGACCAGCCTGATCTACAAGAGCTAGTTCCAGGACAAGGCTCCAAAACCACAGAGAAACCCTGTCTCGAAAAACCAAAAAAAAAAAAAAAGAACTTGCTGGCCAAAGAATGGCACGTTGTATGTCTTGGTACATGCAGCCTGAAGACCTGGACATTCCTGAAGGTCAGCTCCAAGGCAGGCTGTGGCCCTGTCTTTCTTCCCAGACAGCCTTTCCTTTTCTCTGTGACAGCCCTGTTCCTGTTCTGTTTCTTTAGCCTTCCCCTGCTCATGCTCAGCTTTGTCCCGTTACCCATCTTCGCCTGGGACCATGGAGGGAGAGGGCTTTTCCCCGCATCTCATAGCGTGCTGCAGTCATAGCCTCAAGTACTGTGTTCACTCTGTCCTACATGTGTTGAGACCTTATGAAGACTATTTTGTCCTGTGACAAAAAAATGAGAGCTCTCTGTAGACACTGCCTTTGCTGTCATAAGACAAAGAATCTTCACAGGGGTGTTGGCCTGAGGGAACTTGGCTTTTAGAGTCATTGAGGAGAACTTTGTAATAAAGTCTGTGGCAGACAAAGTGCCGTCAGGATTACTTAAAACAAAGTCACCTCACATGCTTATGTGATCTCCAGCTTATTTCCCAGAGTACCCAGGTCTTCCTGTACCATCCATCACTTAGTGACTGGTCTGTCCTCACCAGCAACCGGGGAAGCCCCTTAGAGCAGTGGTTCTCAACCTTCCTTGTGTTGCCATTGTTTTAATATCATTTCTCGTGTTGTGGTGACCACCCCCACACAGTTAAATTATTTTCGTTTCTACCTTATAACTGTAATTTTGATACTGTTAAGAATCATAATGTAAATGTCTGATATGTAAGATTTCTGCTATGTGAAAGGGTCTTTGGGCCCATGTGTTGAAAACCATTGCCTTAGAGGAACGGAAGACTGGCCATCTGAGACAGCGCCACTGTGGTTCTCCCTCTGATCCTTGGTTTTCCTTTATCCTTTACATTAGAAGCCTCCTCCCCTGTCTGTGAGATACAGGCGGTTCAGGGTTGTCTTTAAGAGCCAGTCTTTTCCTGCCAGAGATAGGGAGGCCAGACACTCCAGCCCTGTGAGTAGTTTATCCTGTGCACAGGACGGATGGAGAAAGGAGGCTGTGGCAGCGTGAGCATGTCATGTTCAGTCTTCATTTTTGTTCATTTCAGTCTTCATTTTTTAAAAATATTTATTTATTATGTATACAGTGTTATATATGCCTGCAGGCTGGAAGAGGGCATTAGATCTCATCTTGGATGGTTGTGAGCCACCATGTGGTTGCTGGGAGTTGAACTCAGGACCTTTAGAAGAGCAGCCAGTACTCTTAACCTCTGAGCCATCTCTCCAGCCCTCAGTCTTCATTTTGTTCATGTAAGAGAACAGTGTTTGGGGCTGGGTGTGGTGCCTCTCGCCTTTAATCCCAGCACTCTGGAGGCAGATGCAGGTGGATCTCTGGGTTCCAGGACAGTCAAGGATGCACAGAGAAACAGTCGGGCGCTTGGGGGGCAGTGTTTGCTACCTGGGTTTGTGTATGACTGCAACCCCTAGTAAATGTTTTGAATTCAGACAAAACATGAACTCTTGGGTCCTTAGGCCAAAGCTTCGAAGGCAAGAACTCTGGGCTTACTTTGATTTTACTGGTAACATATTCTACCTAGTTTCTCATCACCCCAATCTACTTATCTACTTTAACAAAAAAAAAAAAAAAAAAAGTGAGTCCAAAAAGATGGCTTAGCTCCTTAGTTAGGAGCTTGGCTGCTTTTCCTGGGGACCTGACTTCAGTTCCCAGGACTCATGTGCCAGGTCATAGACATCTGTAACTCCAGCTCCAGAGGTTCTAATTGCTTCTCATTCCCACAAGCACCAGGAACACCTGTGGTCTGTACATAGACGTACATACAGGTAAAACACCTATACACTTGAATAAATCTTTAGGATACAAGTTCTAAAAGAGAAAGTAAGGAGGGAATCTGTGGCTGTAAGCCATGAGCTCATGCTCTCTCTGGAAAGGGGCGATGTGAAGCTTTCTTGGGTGGTGGTGAAGTTCTGTTTTCTTGTCTGCAGAGCCTGGTTAGTGGTTAAGAGTACTTGTTGTTGGCAAAGGACCGGGCTTGCTTCTCAGCACTCACATGGAGGTTCACTACCTCCTTGGACCCCAGGCACACATGTGGTACATAGACATACATGCTCATAAAACACACAAAATAATAAAATAAATCTTTTTTTAAAAAATGTAAGTAACTAGAGGGCTGGGAATGCAGCTCAGGGGTAGAGTGCATGCCTGTGGTGTGTGAGGCTCTGTGTAGGAGAATGAGAGCCGGGAGACGGGAGAGTAAGTGCCGTGAACTGGAAAGCAAGCCCTAGAGCCTCCTGGTCACTGCCCTGAAGACCAAAAATGCGTACACATTCATTCACACCTTCCACTGCTGCAGGCACAATTGAGGAAATTTCTATAAAATTTATGGTAGTTATGGAAGATGAAATTTAGTTAACCACCAAAAAAAAAAAAAAAGTAGAGCCTCTTAAATGAAGCAGATAGAAAGTAGTATTTTTCTTATTATGAGGTTTGGCCCAAGTGGAGGGTTGGAAGGCCTCCAGTAGTTGCCTGCCAGATTATTTTTTTCAAATTTAGGGAAAGCAAGACCAGTTTTACTGGTCCAACCAGTGCTCAGAGAAAAAGAAAACTGGCACCTAGTGCTGCTAGGGCAAGGACTCAGCCAGGGAGTCCCTGCTGGGGGAACAAGGGAGCCAAACCGCAAGCAAGCAGCCATTAGTATTCTTACTTCAGGGCCTTCCTGTGGCAGCCCTGGAATTTAGGACTGCGAGCAAGCAGCCATTAGTGTTCTTACTTCAGGGCCTTCCTGTGGCAGCCCTGGAATTTAGGACTGCTAGAAACTGAGGGAGTTACAGAGAAGAGAGGAAGGCAATGAGGAGCCTCTAGGTAAACGTGATTGCCTTCAATAGCTAGATCTTTCCTTTCCTAAACTCTCTGGCCGTCATACTGCCCAGATAGCAATACAGAAGCTTCTGAGTTGGAGGTATGACTTTTCCTTAGCAGAAGAGCATTGTGGTGGAGGCGCACACCTTTAATCCCAGCACTCAGGAGGCAGAGGCAGGCAGATCCTTAAGTTTGAAGTCAGCCTGATCTATAGAGTTGAGTTCCAGAACAACCAGGGCTTCACAGAGAAACTGTCTTGACAAACCATACAAACATGGATTAGAAAGAAAATGAAAGAAGGAGGAAAAGGAAAGGAAGGAAGAACAAAGGAAGACAGAAGAAGGGATATTCTGGTGAGGCAGGTGTTTTGCTACAGTGTCAAGGTCATGGCGACCAGTATGCTGCTTCAGTAGACTCCCGTAGTGCAGGCCCATGCCTGGCTTCTTTTTTTTTTTTTTTATTAAAGATTTCTGTTATGCCTGGCTTCTTGCCAAGAGGTATTACCCTATCTTCAGAGCTCTGAAAATGCTTTTGTGTGAGCTCACTTCCTTTCAGCCTTCCTCCTTTCCATTCTATTTATTCTGTGTCCCGTGTGTCCACACCCACATGTGGGATTATACTGTTACATTCAAGTGGAGGCCAGAAGACAACATAGCGGGGACTCTGGATTCCAGGGCTTGGATTCATGTTGTCAGGCTCTGCAACAAGTTACCCACCATGCCGTCTTGCCCACCCAGCATACTTTCTTAGAGGAAGCGGGGCATGTGGGTGCATGTAAAGGCCAGAGGTTAACATCAGATGGCTTCCTCACTTTTAATTTCTTTTAGATTTACTTTTTTAATTTTATGTGTATGAATGTTTTACCTGCATGAGTGTATGTACACCATACATGCCTAGGTGCCTTTAGAGGTCAGAATAAGGTATCATATTCCCTGGAACTCAAGTTACAGGTGTTGTGAACCTCTAGGTGGGTGCTGGGAACTGAACCCAGGTCTTCTGCAAGAGCAGCAAGTGCATTTAACTGCTGAGCCCTCTCTCCGGTCCTCTCTTCCTATTCTTTGAGATGGGGTCTCTCACTGAACCTGGAGCTCACAGATTTGGCTAGGCTGACCAGCTAGTGAACTCTAGGGATCCTCCTGTCTCTGCCTTTTTGATGCTAAAATTAGAGACACATGTCAGCTTACTGGGTTTTTAGATAGGTGCTGGGGAAATGAACATATATTGTGCCTGAGTAGCGGGTACTTTACCAACCAAGTCATC